TTACAAGATATTTGTTCTTCCTATCACGGAAGTCAGTCCAATAATAGAGTTACACGGCAAAATATCCGTTGTAATCGAAGGGAAGCACCGTGACCGGTCGGCGTCACGATAATTAACGGGAATCGCTTGAGTAAAATGCATCGCACTATGCAACAAAACAGATGTTTAGTACAAAGTAACAACAGAGTTACGTAAATCCATACGTACTATTGGCTAGCGGTGCCCTCAAAAGTCGACGTCATGGTAACCAGCTAGACAGCTTTTCATTTTTCTTTTGTTGCGTCTAGGTCTCGGCGACACTTCCCGCATTGGCATTTTAATTAAAAAAATCTTACCGAAGTTCGCGTGAACACAGGACAGAGAGAACTTGACGGTTATGTCTTAGTTAAAGCGCGGTTATTATATTATCTAATTCGAAAACATACTTGTATAATTTCTGTTGCTGACCACATGGTTTTAGCATGGAGGTTTTAGTTACGACATTGACCTCTGACTGAACTGTGAAAAGGAAACATACATCATGCAATGACTCCACGTACAACAATTTTACTTTGTCTAGCATTTTACCTCTATGAACGTCGTGATGACGGTTTATACATTGGAATTTAAGTGAACACAAACAGTTTGTGACGATTATTTTGTCACATAATGAGACCCGTTTTCCAGATCGGTGCAGGGGTGAATCAAGACATCGGTAATATAATGGTGGACCAGGGACCGACTGATTTACATGCATGGCAAAATTACTCGCATATCATCAAAACAACATGATAACATATATTTGGAAATTGTGTTGTCACTGAGGTTTCGGCACAGAGTGTTTTTGTTTTGTTTTATTTTTACAACTACCAATGATATGAAATCGACAATCAGATACACGTACACATACCCACGCAAATCTCACAAAACGATCGGGTCTGTAATGATTAAGGTCCACTCGGGGAAATAATTCAATCTGACAAATCTTAATGATGAAATCAACAAAACAAAAATTTGTTAACTTTTCAAACAACACTCGTGTAACCACGCTGAAGTGATATTTTATGTTTTGGTGTTCCAAGAAATACCGGGCGCGCCGAGTTAAATAAGGCACGCCGTATTTAACTGACCGCGACGAGCTTGATCTTGGGCTCGCTTTTTTGAGGGCGAGCCCTTTAATGACCTCGCCACTGGCACGCCATTGGCGGGACATGGCCTCGCTTCGCCAATGGCGAGAACACACGGGTCCTTGTGTGCACATTGTACTGTATATGTAATATAACAAGCAGCCTATCGGCTGAGATAGCTCCGCTGTTAGCAATGCACATTTCAATTAAAGAACTGAAGACATCATTAGAAAATGAACAATATGTATAGTATCAAAGCAATCGGACTTGCAGTTTTAACAAGAAGTCGAAAATATCACTTTTTACCAAAAATGACAAAATTATTCATCAAAATTAGAGAATTGAAGATCATTACAAAATGAACAAATCTGAAAGACTTCTACCCAAGGTACATATACACCAAGTATCAAAGCATTCAGGCTTGTCGTTCTCAAGAAGAAGTCGAAAAAGTAAAATATTGACACGAACGACGAACAATCACTCATATGATAAGCTCCGCTCGACAAAGACGACAGCGGAGCTAAAAATATATATACAATTAAAACATTAAGCATTATTTTATATGCATTTTTTGCGTCTCTTATTTTTTCTTTTTATTATATTTTAACTTTCAACATTTAACTTTATTATATTATGAACAATATCCCAATTAAGGATATGTTTATCAATAAATATTATTACATAAACATAAAAATACATATCCTATACTTTTATACTGCCAACTACAGAACAAATCAAGCATACAGGTATATTTTTAGAATTATTAGTCAGTAGAGATTTAAAAATTTAACAAATCAGAATCGCTACAGGGCACATATACAGGATAAAACACATTAAAATAAACAATACATGTGTCATAGTATAATATTTGTATTCATTGTAATCAGACCTGATTCTACTCGCCTAATCACTCTCCTAAATCAAAACTCAGAATAAGCTAATAATCACTTTCCTAATCAATACCATTTTGGCGCCATATAAATAATTATTCAAGATGCTGTTTTCATGAGTTATTTTTAGTTCCCAGGATTGTTCAAAAAGCCAAAGCCCCGGTGTAATATCAGCTTCCAGATTAAACAGTCCTTTCTATTTATTCAACAATAGTAAAATGTGTATGATAAATATATTCCTCCGTTTGACTTCAGCAGACACTCGTCACTGCCAGAGTAGCATCAATCCTTGCCTATGGCACAGATTCTCTGACGATAAGCACTCGTGTATGTTGACGTCAGAGGAGTAGAAAATTTAATGAGCTGTTGCATAAATATCTCACAATCCTTCCAGTCATTTGTGAATCAGTGTGCATCAAAAAACACAAAGCATAGAACAACCAGAATTACCAAAACTTGCGGTTGGTTTTCAAAGTGAGCAAACATGAACTGAATGTTCTTCCACATGTTAGTAGTTAGAAAAAGTAACTGAACATACCAATTCAAAATTGTATTGAAAATCATAGATTTATAATCATTTTGCTACAAATGCCTTAACAAATTTGACTCCCACCTTTCAAACTGATGTACATGCAGACTAGAAACTAATGAATATACTAGCAGCATGTGCCAAGCTTTTCATTTAGACCCATAGGAGCAGCCTGCTTTTACCATTTCAAATTAGTTAATTAGTATGCAATTAGATAATTAAAATTAAGAGATTAATTAGAAACTTATCAGATATTCATCTATCAAAACAGTAAGCATGTACCAAGTTTTAATGCATTTGTGAATACAAATAAAAGAATGCCACAAGTGACAACTCAGCGCCCATGCACTAATAAGCGCCCATGCACTAATAAGCACCCATGCTAGACTAAGCGCCCATCCAATTTTGAGGCATTTCTGATGGCGGGGTCATGTTCGGCTGAATGCCATTCCTTACAAAATGCTCCAAATTTGACTGTCTAGTCATAAAACCTGGTCTTTGAGCATTTTCCGAAAAACCGGCAATCAAATTTATATGAAACAGCATGGATATCTACCACCGTGAATATCGTGTGAATGCACATTCGGAAATTTCATAGGTGATGTATTAGAAAAGAAACAGATTATTTAGTGTCTGGCATAACTATCAAACTTTACACAAATATGGTATAGATGACTTTCGCTGTCTTTATGTAGTTTGATTTGCATGATACCATGGAAACTTTTACATTTCATTGCGGTTTAGGACATGACATGTTATATTTTAAACTTTTATGTCCACCTATTATGTTCAATACTGAATGAATAACAAATCAAGGATTGTTTTGATGACAGAGTATAAAATATCTAAGCATAAATTTGTGCAAGGGTGGATAACAGTAATGATGACTGCTCACCATACGTTTGATACATAGTCTGACCGACACAAAATGCTGAATACTATACTTACTGCCTGATCGCGCTGGAAAATGACAACACGTCCACCCTTATCTCCAGTTGCTAGTAATTCTCCATCATGGTTAAACTCAACAGTTGATATAATATCCGCTGCAAAAAAATAAAAAAAAAGAAAATTAGCAAATCTAGGGGTGCCGCAATTAAACTGCATTGACAAATTATTTTGCATTGCCTCAATCTGGTATAACCTTATTGGAACTGCTCAGTTTATTCTCTGAAAGACAAATTCAGAATTTCATATCTAGGTCATCACTTGACTGCTCGCTAACAGCAGATGCCCACATACATGCATTATGCTTATTAGGTTCATCTCATTCATGTATATTCTATTAGATCTGTGTTTGCCGATCTAAAAATACTACTTCTAAAAAGAAAATTACGCCTCGCTAGGCACAAAGGTCTTATCAAGTGGCACAGAATCAATTTTCATATGTGATTCAAGATCAGCTTTATTCTTCAGTATCTGCTTTAGTCAATCTATACATTTTACAATAATTTTTAAAGCTATGTTACACTGGATACTAAAAATAGAAACAGCACAAGCCACAGAGGACATTACAAATGCATTACAAGTGTCGTATCTCGTGAACATTTTGCAATAAAGGTGTTACTTCATTAAGTTCAACTAATTTGAAAAAATAATACACTGCTTTCATAGGCCTCAATCATTGAATTCATACATTCACAAAATATTGTTTAACAATACAATAAGTTTATCATATCTCACAAACTGTATCTATGGTGACAAAAAAAAAAACAATAGTAGGACCACAATTCTTATTGTACAACTTAAGGTAGAGATGCAGTTTACCTGACAGGTATTTTAATTAGTTAATTAGGAAACCAAGATGACCTCCCTTGTCCACAAAACTATATATTTTCGGAAAGCTTATTGTATGAATTTTAAAATTTTGTTAGTATTTTTTTTATGGACACTGTAGTTTGAAATGTGCACAAAAATGAGCTTCTTTGGTCAAAAGTGATTTAAAAAAAATTAGCTTCTAAACCATGCTTCTGTTTCCCGTCAAAATTTGTTTATGGGTACACCTGTTTACTATGAAGAAAGTGCCGTCTTGAAAACTGTCTACCAGTTGTCAATTTTGTGGGGCAGCAGCTAAAATTTCACTACTTCAAGTTTATGCATAAATTAACACCCAGGCTAGTTGTCTGTACGATTGTTGTAACACTTCAACCAAAAACAATACCCCAACAACGTTTTGAAGATAAACACATTGTCAATCATTTGTGAAAATTTCAAAATGAAAGGTCAAAGCGTCTAGGAGCTATTTTTTTTAAGTTCTAGGATGTGCACTAAAAGGAAGCTGAAATAATTGCTAATTTGCATAACAATTCACGTTTAATGCGTTTTTTTTCAATATTTTTATTTTATTTTAAATTATTGATGGTTATGACAGTATCTATAACTGCTTTTATTCTAAACAAAAACTCCATATTACAACGATTATTTCGACATTTTTTCTATTTCAAAACATTGCCACGTGTGATTGTTTATAAACACCACCAACACAAGCACAACACTGGCAATTAATCCTAATTGAAACTTGATGAAAGATCCAATTTGCATACCAATACTACAAAGTTTACGTAATTACAGTACTCATTTCGCCCAGCTTTCCGCTTTTACACCCACAGCTTATTGCTTGATTTCCGGCCGCGTGGTCTTGTCTGACCGGTAACAGACAGCATTTTAATCGCTCTTTTTTTCGCTCGCTCATGAATAATTCAGAAAAAAAAAAAAAAGTGTCAAATTTAGTTATAGTCATAAATATTTGGTGGCCAGGCGATGAACAATTCGAAAATCAGGATTCACGCAGAAGTTCTTCAGGGCTGAAAATCGTCGACCCTACTCTGGGTTACCTTATTTCACAACTAACAAAGAAAACTGATTCGCCGTGGACTCAGCTTAGTTTTTCTTCTTTCTGAACTGAGGTCAAATCCCCTGGTTAGTCAAAATATACTGATGTTTTTCAGTGAATAATTGTGAAGCCTGTCACAGAACAAAAAAAACTATGTGAATCGAAGCCGGAGATTGGACGGTACGATGACCCTTCAATTAGCGTCAAATATGCTTTGTTACAACATCATTTATTTGCTGAAAGTCACAAGATCAGACCACGACCTGGGTCACAGAACAATATTTGTCCGTATTATCAACAGGATTTTGCGAAAGAACCACACCCACATTTTCAACCATTTACAGAGCGGAAGTTGCCAATAAATGTCGAAAATCTTGTGCATTCCATGTATTCGGATAAAATATATCTAGCGATTGCTAACAATGGTTATTAATATATTCCCCGATGCTCTTGGAATTTTTATTTTTTTTTATTTCAAGGTAATAAATGGCTAGTTGAAGTTGTATCGACTTCAAGGCGGCTGTTTCACCGTGAACAACCAAGCTCTGTTGTAGTTTTGCGATGTAAAATGAAATATATATAATAATAATACTTGTTTAATTATTTGGGTTTTCAGCCCACAAATTACGGAACATGATCCCCAGGAATTACGGTCAATGTTTTGTCTCGACTGATTGTGATGAATGCCGGACGTCGGGACCGACGCCCGTCCTAAACTCAGTATGGAGAAACCAACGGGAAATTGGGGCAAATTATTGGGGCACGGTCAACAGATGAAAGAGGAGATTTTTCTAGATATACTGTCATGAAAAACATGTAAAATTAACAAATACACAATGAGGTGTAATATTAGGTTTTATTTTAGGCTTAGATTAAATATTTTCTTTCACTCAGCTCATGCATGGAACTGCCATTTAGCTTCATGGTCCTTCAGCTTGTCTTCGCCTTGAGGAAAACAATAATTATACAAACCGTAAACACATTGCGAAGACAACAATCGGGGAAGAAAACCCAGACAACCATGTCCTACTTGTGTTGAAATACATTTTGTATTTCACGTCAGAATATTGTTGAAAATAAAATATTCAATCCAAGCCAAATCGAAGTCAAAAGGTCAGATTGCGTGCATATAATTATAGATAGTTAAAACGAAAAGTATTTGATCTTTTGTCGGCTGTTCAACATTTATAAAAACCAGTAAGAATTGTTAGACAATGTGAACCTCTGAAATTTTCTGCAAGCGAGCAGGCGGTGATATTTCGGAATTTTCGCCATCGAAAATAAAGCAGAAATTGTCCAGTCTAATTCAACAAGCGGTCACAAAAGCGAGCGGAAAAAGGCAAGTCATTGCTCTTGTTCGCACCACGGTTACTAAAAAAGAAACAGTGTTCGCACGTTTGCGACGACGTATCTCACTATCAGTTTTACAGTGAACAGTAATCAAAACAAACTTGAAGATATCTTGTGGACACGGCTTAAACCATTTTCTTTATTTGGAATAACTCCGCCTCCACACCATATTAGTAATATGCAAATCACTACGTCACTTTTGCGGGAAGTCATCACGTTGTTGGTTGACACACGGTAGGGCCGTTCTGAGATTTCAAAACATATTTCATCCTGTCTTTAACGCATATAACATTTAGCCCCGACATTAGAAGGCATTATTTAGTAGTTGGTCGCTATGCAGACATGTTTCAATAATTATAACTCCATATTTTTAAAAATTTTTAGGCCTAGTTTGAGATTCATTGACCTTGGACGTTTTTTGCATTTATCTTGAAATTGATTTCTACGTAGTTCTACAGATTCAGTACGCAATTTCTAACAAACGAAAGGTCAGATCGTCGCCATTTTTGATCAACTTTACCGCTATATAGAGTACTGGAGGAATGTTCCTGGATTTTGTTCTGTCTGCCTTCGTCTTGATTTTTTGCTTATTTTTATATAGAGACATGTTGTTTTTACTCAGGTATTTAACACGTCCAAACATTTGAAATAAGGCTACATAAAAACAAATTATAGTTGCAAAAAAAACGAAGAACATTGTACATGAAGCACCCCTCTATAATATTTACATAAAAAAATATATTCAGTCGTGCTGCAAATTAATTATTAATTGCGTCATTAACCGTTTTACTCCATTTTCGCGTATTCTTGTGATCACGCGACTTGATATTTGCATAATTTAAAAAAATTGCCACATTTCCAAAGTTTGAAACAAGATCTTTATTATGGTATATAACATGTATGGGTAAAATGTATGTTTCAATCTGTAAATTGAGGCCAAAAAATTGAACCAGCGAACGTATGCTAACCCCTTAAGGCAGTTTGAACTTAATGTATATAATTGAAATCTGATGAAATTGACATTTTAGACAGTTTTTTAAAGGTTTAGCATTCGTAATAATAATTACGTTTTCATCTCCTGTGAGAGCAAAATTGGGATATAAAAAAATCTCATCTCACTGACTCGTTTTGCTAATAAATTGAAAGGTGCCCCTTCCCATTTGGTATTCTGATGGCATTAAACCCACAATAATGAAAGCATGAAAAAAAAGACAATGTTCAATTCAACTTTAGAGTACCTGCAAAATCACACGATAATATATTATATTATTATATATTGAAAATATGGACATTTTTGAACACTGCATAGGGTATGATAATCTCTCCAGATTCAAAAAGGTGCACATGTAACTTGACTTTCATCATCACTATGCAACATTAAAAGTAAGTTTTATCCTTAACTCTACTATCAAGACAATAGCCCTGGATTCCGAGTTACCAGAGTGGGCGTTATTCACATTTGGTTGTTAGTGACCCACTCAAACAATGCTATGGATCCTGCTATAGTAAAATGGGCTATCCTCACACAAGAATTCCAAATTTCAGAACATGACCTGTCACTTTATCACCGACTATAGACTAATCTGAATCAAATGTGTTTAGGAATAATTAATAATATAAGATAATGCTTAGCAATGCCATTCAGTGACAGTATGGAGGCGTCACAAATCCCCCCTCCCCCCAGCATGAAGGGTTTCCCACAATTCCTATGGGGAATCTCAAGCTTTGCCTCCACAATGACCACTATATCCGAACGACAAAGCTAAACCGTTGTACATGTAGGTGAAAGACCTACTATAAAGAACTTAATAGTTCCTTTTGAAGTTAGCCAAACTGTTCTGTTGTAAACAATTATGGGTATTTTTAGGGGCAAAATTACACAAATGTTCAGTTTTGCTGAGGAAATACCCACAGTTCCTTACAGTTTGGCTTAACAATATGCTATCCTAAAAAATGGCATAATGGCTGATAAATAATTAAAACTTTTGTCTTAACTGCATCAATTTACAAAATGTAAATAATGTGTAGACAATCAAAAAAAGATCACTGAGTAAGATATACATATTTAAAGCACAATACTGCAGAGACAGACAGATATACCTACTAGTTGAGTTAGGCTATAATATATTGATTTAGAAATAGCAGACCTTCCAGGGTAGCCAATTACTGGTGTCAAAGGTCAGAAAAAAATCAACGCACGATTTACACCGGGACAAGAATGATTTGAAGCGTTACCATATGAAAGTAAAACAACTTGCACTAGACATCAACATAATATGACTAAGACATTTGACAGATTGTTTAAGACTGTAAAAAAACGGAGAAGCGGAAAACAGCGCGTGCGATTTGACTGTTGACTCATCGCAAACGGTAAATAGAAAAAGAAAGAGCGTCGTTTACCGGTGTAGGGGGTGAGCCTCCTACTCAATCACAGCGACTGGGAACTCTCCAAACTCGACAAAAATACAGAATTCATTGACCAAGTTAAGATAAATATATGACCTTGAACCAATTACTAAACCGCTAGTCCATGGGTAATTTTAGGTTGAATCTGACAGCAGCAAACGTCATGGTTGAAATAAATACTATCTGTCAAGCTTTTGGAAGATGTTTCAACACTTACCTTCAGTTACATCTTCTTCGACTGTTCCTTTGACCTGCGAAAAACACCACTGTACCTCGCCAGTCCCTGTGAATACACAACAGCAGATCGTCAACAAACATGTGCCTTACGTACATGTTCCTATGGTCCATATTTACGAATAATACGTACACTTCAAAGAATGACCATATACGTGAGCGATTGCAACAATGTAACGCCCATTCACACTTACCAGCCATGACACAGAGCAGAAATACGACTTTTAAAATACTAAGGAATGTCTGAAATTTCGTCTAAGTGATCTGCATCAGCTTTTTGGCAATGGATGGCGAGGATGGCGCTCAGATTCAGCGCCACAAACGTACGTAAACCAACGACAACTTTCAAAATGGCGCTTCACTACACGGAAGATACCCTGTATGACGTCACCTCGCCTCGTTATCAACGAAGGAGACAGGAAGTGCTGAGAAATGTATTCGGTGTCTACTCTTTTCGACATAAATTTCCTTTAAATATTTTAATAAATATGTTTTTACGTATGAATATATTTATCTGTTAAATTATCTCATAACATATAACTGACCTATCGAAAGGTGTGAAATATATATGATTGCTTTCGTGCCCTGGTATTATACTTGTCACGATTGCATTTAGTGGTTATCATAGGCAACATTATTTTCAAGGAAAAGAAACTTGAGAGGGGAATTTGGTGGATGAGTTAAACTTAGTCCGTCAAAAATTCTAATATATTTTGTTTGAAACTATTTTTGTCATTTCACTCTTTATTCAGACAAATAATTATCGTGACGCACACTTACAAATTCCACATGCTCATTAAGACTGTTCGTTGTGAATTCACAGAACAGTCGGTTGATATGCAACAAAGCAAATAAATTGAAATACCAATAGAATAAAGTGGTTCATACGAAGTCCAAAATGTGCAAATTTGCAAGTTATCATAATATATATTTCACACACACACGGCTCATATTTGTTTTTGTTCAACCAAAATGTTGTTTGAAACACGATAAAACAAGTACTGAGCTAATTAATAATATGTTGGCCGTGATGCTAGTATTAGAAGCACGTAAGTTCAAAGTATTTTACTTTGTTTACTCGAAGACTAGACAATTTATGGTCCTTGTCAGTGGCGCCGCCTCGAAAAAAAGATCAAGCTGAAACCCTTTGTGTCAGCACAATTTGCCCCTGAAAATGCAGGAAATAGCGTTTCGGAGGGTCTAGATTTCAACATGTTTAAGGGGGAGGTTGCCCCGGAACCTCCAAGTAAGGTCGCGCGAGGTTGGTAAGCAACATTTGGTGCCGCCGCATCTGCTTGTTTTACCATGACTCTTTAATAAAATCTCATCAGGTCATCATGACATCTGAATTTAGTTTAATTCTGCCGGTGGACCCCAAAATGCTGGGCAAATCTGGTGGTTGTATATATCTGAAGCCTGGCCCTTTTAGTCATTTCGATCATAAACTGATATGCGAATCATTTACGCGTTTTCCGCATGCAATATCAGTATGGATCCGTTAAACGACAAGTGAACGGTATTTGCGGTAGCTATCCTTCGCAAATCAACAATTGGGTTGCTTCATTTTTGGATTCTCCAGACATAACGTATTTTAATGCAATATTATATATATATAACACCCACTCTTCTTTGCGCAGGCTATAACTTATTCGGATTCGTATCTCTCAGCCTACCGATGACTAACACTCAACATGATATTCGCGTAGATAAGGCGAGCCCCTCCCCCGTTCTTTGGAATCAAATCTCCGATGAACACAAACTTGGCGACATTACATATGGTTGAATCACTTTCTTTGACGTACGTACCTAGTGTATGACGTGTTTAAACAGACTTGAAACCTTTTACATTGTTTTAACTCGCAGCGACATGATTTAAAATACGTATGTTATGCCAACCCAAGGAAATTGAATTCCCGTAAACATATATTTTATTTATCATGAATTGAACTGTATAAATGTCAGCAACAAATTTAAATTTTGATTGGGAATTATTATCACTTGTAAAGTAATTTCTGTCGGAATTAACGAGTTAGACACAATCCTGTGAGTTGAAATATAAAATAATATATGCGTTGCTTCTATGATTGTTTCATATCATACTTGACCGGCAATGTATGCCGCATGGCAATGCATGCACCGTGAGCTGCTGCAGATGAGTTGACATAACAAATGACGAACGAAGGCATTTATGGACGAGTACACAAAGCAGTATTACCTCAGGCTGGGTGAAGTTGCGTAGCCATCTAAAGAGGTAAACCCAGTATTACGTAGTTCCTCTCACCTGTCGGGGGAATATTTCTTGGTGATGGTGTTGGGTGTGTGGCGCGGGGTTTGGTACCATTTTGTGCAAATGATTACTATTAGTACAATTAACTATGCAATGTGTACAATACACAATCAAACTACACATTAAACTAATAATTATAACCTATAACAAATATTAAAAAGAACATGTTTCAAATATATTATAATCGTACATTGTGAAATAGTAAACATATCAGTCACATTGAACTAATATTCATACCAACTTTTTATATCACAATAAATCACACACTCCGTGTGTAAATGAGAATTTACGGTTACTGGTATTTGATCTTTATTCACATATTAAAGAACTATAACCTTTATACAATTTCAGACTGGTATAAAATAAAAACAAATTATAATCGCTCCTGAATTTCAATATATGGAAAACAAAAAGAGCAAGGCATTCCTATAGCATGGGAGAATTTTTAGAAATCAAAAAGATTTGTCATTGTGGATAAGCGAGATTTATAATTCGAAATTCTTTTCCGTTACGAATCTCTCTCAGTAACGCTTTGCCTGTCTCAACGAGGAGGCAGTGAGATGAACAGAGAAATCGTGCAAAAGAAATTTTACGAGAATGTATTTTAACAGAGGTTATGTATTTCCTGTATGCTATTCACTTTCTTGGAATATCAAGCATATTCTGACGTCAACTCTGATATTTCTATAACATAAACAATGCACGAGTAACTGATACTAAACATATTATTTGTTGTTCGATATTTTATGTAACGTTTAGCCATGTGTAGAAAGACGGTATATCGTCACACTCGCACAATACACATGCACTTATTTGGAGTCAATTGTTGAATACGTTCTAGGCACTAATATTTTTGGAATCCCTAGATTTCATACTCATACATTCATATTGGGTAAAATCATTCATTACAAAATCTGAAAGAAAAATATTTCAAGGGCCTAATTTCTTATGTGTTTCTAATAGTGGCCTTGTTTGCAGATGTTTTAAATACTATTATTTTCTTGTTGTTCAGTTTTACTGTTATCCTCTACATATCACAAGACAAACTTATTTAATTAGTCAATCAGCGAAAAATGATACGTCATTTTCAAACAAAATGAGGCAGACAGGTTCAACAAAGGCAGGTAAATGTTAGATATCATGATGGTTGGATTACCGAAGTTCAATTGCTCGTTCATTGACGAAGAAATGAATATTGAATTGAATATTGAATTGAATATTGAATTGAATATTGAATTGAATATTGAATTGAATATATACCCTTGGCAAACACCAATAGGACAACCGAACAAATTTGTACATTGATTCAACATTTTACAGTATTTACACATGACTTAACAGTATACAAAACATTAAACATATAAAACTATAATCCCCAAAATAAATATAATACACCAATGACGCTGTATCTCCACCGAATCAAAGACCGTAGCAAAATCGATGAAAGCCACGTTTGCCTTATATCCGTGCTATATATGTTAAATTTAACTTTAGTGTAGTGTTGCTAAAAGTTGAGGGCCTCTGTCTGAAGCTGGTCTACTTGCACCTCTTGCGAACTCACGCTAGTTTCAGGACCTTTAGTAGAATGTCCCAGATTCAAAAATCGAATTAAACAGAATCTGATAAGATATATTATTAACAGATCTTCGGAGAGCCTTGAAAAATCCCCAATCAGATCTTCTGGGTCTTCACAACCTTGTTTTTCAGGTATACATTGTAAACTCGTGACATCTAGTTGGTATCTAGTTAAGCTATTACTAATACCTATATCTTTCAATGCAAAACGACCGGACACAGCTGTGTTTTTATCGCCAAAGCGGAGACATTCGAGAAGAAATTTGGTGTATTTGACCTGTAATGATGAACTTAGTACGAAATCTTTGTGCTCATATTAAGTCCCGTTTTACCCAGGTCTCTCTTGTTATTTGTATTACTTTTTTTTGACGGTTGTCGTATGTTTAGGCAAGTTCCTCCATGGTTTCGTAACATTCATCGGCTAACTTCTTCGATCGATGACCATCGTCCAGGGTGTCTGAACGAGTTAAAATCCCATCAAGTCTATTTTCAATGGCAGACATATCGAGTTTTCGCTTGTTTCGTTAAATTTGTTTCTCTTCGAGTTATTCCGAACTTTCTTTATTCGCTACGTTTTATTTCAGCAACGAGACAAAACTCCACGTCATGAAGTCAATGACAGTAATGAAGACATGTGACCAATTGCATGTATACTAAAAAGTTATCGTTAATTCTTTTTGAACATATTTAAAGTAATATTGCTAGTAATATGTTTCACTAAGATGTGTAGCGTGAAATGATACATGTGAACCCATGGCAGGTATCTGTGCTTAGAAGCACGGCCCGGAAGACTGGTACAACGTAATTTGTAAGTATGTGAGAAATCAAATTCATATATTTTTTTTACATTTCATTTCGTGGTTCTTAAGTAGTTAGACTCCAAACCACATAGTGCCCTACTGATATCTCACCAGCGGCAGAACCCAAGTCAGTTAATTTTGCAGTGAGTTTCTTCTATTATAGATGCACATTGCGCCCTCTGTAGGTTTCGTCAATTAAACTCCCCATAGACGAATATTTTTACTGAAATCAAATGCGTCTAGTACCAAGAATTTTATGAAATTAAAAAGAGTGGAAGGCCAAGTTTTTACATCAAATATTAGACAGCATTGCCATGGTGCTGAAAATCCTCCTAAAATAAACCGATTCAACTACACCAGTATTAGAAAACTCTAAATGTATCAGTCCGCCAATTCAAAGCCAGATGGTTTTCACTAAAATTCCAATAGCAAACCGGGGACTTGCTTATTTTGATATCATATTAAATAAAACAGTTTGAAATAATAACATGCAAACCCTTGCAAAAGGTTGTATTCAAAATAGCGGGGATTACATACTGACCTCGCAGCATGATAGACATTTTAAATGTAGTGTGAAACCTCACATCGCTGAATTCCACGGAACTCATTTGCGATATTCCAGTAAGTGGCGACAGTAGAATTGAAAAATATGTACAGAAAAAAAATAATGGAAAACAAAATCCTGCAGAAAAATATTCTGATCAC